GAACATGCTTAGTCTTCAATGCTGAAATTCCCAGCAGTAAGCTTCTGAAACAAAACTTTTACTATTGTATCCCAAGTAACAGTATTGAAACCTAAACTTTCCCCCTTTTTTTGTGGCATTCAGTTGCACTGAGTTTATTTTGGCATAGAACATAATAATTCTGATCTGTTGACATGATAGCTCAACTTTAAAGACTTTTTTGGTGCACAAGATAAAAGCTTTGACTAGCAAATTACTCAGTTGTACAGTCCAACTTTCAGCTTTAAAATGGTGAAAACCCATTTCGAGAAAGGTTAACTACCAAGGGAATGGCTGCTGTTAGCGCGAAGGTATCTCCTCTCGCAGGAAACTTTTTACTCAACCCGTAATAGATTTTATGTAATATAAATTACCTGATAACAGTTGCATAATATACTAAATATATTACATATAAGGATTTTTATTGTAATCAAAATACGAAAATTTTATTACGGAAGACACTATGAATGGTCTGGAATAATTTCAGTTTATAAATGAAATATTCATAATTTTAGATACAAAAAAATAGTATCACACCTATGAACCTTTGAAAAAAAATCAAAACACTTAAAAAAGTACTCGGTTCATCCTTTATTCATTTACAATTATATATACATAGCTGCCAACATGAATAGGAAAAAATCCAGTAGATTTTACAAAATATAAATTTCCTGATAGCTGTTGCATAATATACTAAATATTTTACATATAAGGATTTTTATTGTAATCAAAATACAAAACTTTTATTACAGTAAACACTATAAATTTGTCTGCAATATTTTGCATTTATGATTAACATTACTACTAAAATTTTAAATGTTTTTCATGTTATTTCATAATTTTGAATATTAATAAACAAGTAATTCATTATTAATAGCTGAAAGATTTTTTAACTAGTTTAAAAAGTGAATTCTGAATAAATAAGTAAAAAATGAAAATCTTAGAACCAAAAAAAAAAAAGAAGAAGCTTTAAACTGATTATTATAAACGAGGCTTTCTTCATTGTGTATTAGTAATATTTAAATATTCAGACCTGCCAACATTGTAATCTGCATGACCTTACAATTCTGAGTTAGTGTTTTACTCGACATAGTGTTATACAGAAAGTGTTATTATAGGACCTTTTTACACAAAATTAAGATCTGTTACTAAATACACTTGTCAATTTTGAATAAATTATTTTTTTTTAAAAATTCATTGTGAAAACAATAACAAAAACATTTTTTAAATCTTGAGTATTTTATTATACAATTGTTTAAACACATATTTACACTTAATCACAATTTAAAAATTAAATTTCTAGATTAATACAAAAAGGAAAAAAATTAAATAGACTCAATTAAAAACAATTATTGCTTTAAATGTTCATATGTAGCAGACTTAGCTGCTTTTAAGAATCCTTTATCGAAGGTCTGCTCATAACAACATCCAGTTTGCGTGGTTTTGGCAATCAGAATGTCCTCTAGAGATTTATCAGACAAAGAATTTCTGAACTGTGTTCTATTTTTTTTTACTATGCTAAATACCCTTTCACATTCTGCATTACTGTGAGGTATGCTTAATATAGCTACCATGATTTTTGCTATTCTACTGTACTTCTTGAAACATCCATCATTGGATGTTATTTTAGAAATTGCATCCCATTTTTTGTCCATCCTTGTTTCCTGTTTAATCACAGAAGGTAAATCAGTAATCTGCAAATCACTAAATTCCTCTAAAAGTTTATCTCTTTTCATATCTTCAGTTTCTTCAACATTGTCATTAATCCACATCGATGGAAATTTTTTCAAGAAGAAATCAACATCCTTGAATCTTTTTGAAGGTAATTTATCAACATCTGCAACTTCAGCGGATAATAAAAACTCACTATTCAAGGGAAATTTCTGCCGTATATAGTTGCAGACAGCAATATAATAATTTTTTATATTACTATAGAAGAGTTGCTTATCTTCCATTTTTAAGACTGATATTAACTTGGAAGCAGCACTACCAATTATAATATCATCATCCAATTTATGATTCTTCTCTGACACTAAGTTAATGTCCATCAGGGAAGAACCTTTAATAATGTCTGCTCTTATAAATTTTGAGACAAAATCTTTTAATAAATCTAATAATAAAGAATTCAAAATATGAATTTTTGGCTCATTAGATTGTAAGGTAATTAAGCTTCTTTCAAAAACTGGGATGATATAATTTAGAAACAAACAATAAGCTTTACAGATATCTGATGAAAGAAATAGAAGCATTTGTTCTTCCCTAGTCAAAACAGATTCCTGTTTAGAAGATTTCGGTGAAGAATTTTTAGAACAATTACCAGCTTTTAATTTCTTTGCAGGATTTCCCATTTCTGATTTTTGTTCAGAAGTTTTTAATGAACTATTAGAGAAATTACCTACCTTCAATTTCTTCACAGATTTTTCTATTTCTAAAGGCCTTTTCTTTTTAATATGTGCATTCTCCACTTTGTTGTCATTTGCAGATATTTTTAATGGTATGGAATAGTCATTAAGACTATGGCATTTGCTCTTTCGATTTATTTGATCCTTGTAAAAGCTACACAGAGGATCCCATTGTTCCAGAAGTCTCATTAAGCATCTACCCAAAGAGAGCCATCTTGTGCAAGTATGTTTCAAAATTTTATGTGTATCAAC